TTTGTTTTAAAATTTACTTTAACGGGGTATTCGTTGTGAATCCTTATCTGGAAGAGTGTGTGTGCGGGGGGGAGGCATCATCACAGCTTTGAGGCCGACAACTGGACGTTAACACATGGGTGCCAACTTTTCGCCGGCCACACTGCACCTCCCCTACGCCTACCTTCGCGTTAAACTTCGAGCCTACTATGATCGGATCGCTCTCAACCACTTTGGGATGCAGCGCCAGAGTGCACCTGATTATGTTCACGTGCACAAGGAACCGCTTACACCGTTTGATGTGGTCCTTCATGTTTTTCTTTATAAACGTAAATTTGCTCCTCATGTCTTCCTCATTTATGTATAGCATGGAGGAGAGGAGGAGCGGCACCGATTTCTTTAACGTAGAATCGGAACAGGCACAGATGTAGAGGTTCCTTTTTTCAAAGGGCAATAAACAGAAGAAGTAAAAGGTGTATTTTTTATTTTCATTTGTAAGTGAGCTAGTTCCTTCATTTTGTTCTTCCTCCCCGTTTTGCAATTGCCATGTGTTTAATTCTTCCATTTGGTCATTCCTATGGGGTGTGTGCTCCTTTCCACTTTGCATTCCCAAGGGGGGATTATTCTCCTTTATATGAATGCCCAGAATTGATTCTGCATCTTCCTTAACTAGCATGCAGAGGACGTTTCTCTCCGTCATATTTTCGATGGCGACTTTTTTGGAGCTCTCCGTCTCGGTGCTTACGCACGGTAGGTTCTTTGCGATGTGGCAGGGGGGGGGAAATGGACAAAATGAACAAAATTGACATAATGGACAATGTAGACAATATAGACCCCGCTTCGCACATGCGCAGCAACACTTTGTAAGTAAAGAATAGATAAAGGTGACTTGCTCGAGTGGACACACATGTACACCCATTTGGAGATATTTGCATATATGTGGAAATATTTTCCAATTTGTGGTGCCTGGCCTTACTATGTTGGGGTCGCCCCCGTTGAACAAGACGCTGTTTATCTCATGCGAGACGAAAACGGAGATATGCTTCTTTTCAATGCCATTTACTAAATAGTGCAGTTTAATTTCTCCCTCGGTTATCTGCGCGTTCTTGGGGGAGTAAAAGATAAGGACGTTTAGGGAGCCCCTTCCGGGTACGTAGTTGACTAGCGGGGCGACTCTGCGGGGAGGGGATAACATTTTGGTTGTGATGGCGTCCCTCGTGTGCAATGGTAAATATACATACATATATATTGTATGTCCCATGTGAGTGCGCAATGGGGCGAGAGGGGGGAGTTCACCCCTCAAGGAAGGCGTCCCAACCTGATCGATTCCACGTCGCCCTTGAATGGAGTGAAGTCAACAAGCTGTGCGACGTCCGAACTATTCCCAAACCTCACAACGGCGTGAGTGTTTTCCTCTTCGATGATATTCAAAAAGGAAATCTGTTTGGGGTAGACACATAGGCTGTCCAGAACATTCTCCGTCTCACATAGGTACTTTATTTTGAACTGAAACAGAGTGACATATAGGAAGCGAGGGGGCAACAACGTTTTGCTGTTACATTTCCTATAGTCCCTGTTGTTGGAGGGGAAGACAATGCATTCGTATACTTCCCTCGTATATTTCTCCTTCAGCGTCTTTGCATTTTTTACTCTAAAGGGGGGGGGGAAAAAAAAAAGAAAAAATCGGGAATCTCTCATAAAATTGTACGCACAAAAATGGAATTTTTATGTCAATTTTCGGCGTAGAAATGGAAGTTTGGGGGGGATATGCAGTTACGCTACGCTTCAGCAGGGAGAGCATTTGAGAACATCATCACCAGGATGAATGTCATACCTAAACGTCTGGCACCCAAACGGTAGGAGCTGAGCCTCCGCAGGGTGGATGTGAAAGATGCTGCGTTGTCCTCTCCCCTGGTCCACCGCGTTGGACCACACACAGGTATACTCCACGGGCGTTTTGTTTATAATCATGATGTCTTTCTCTTCCGATTCTAGGATTTCCAACTTCTGGGGGACTACGAAAAGGTCACTACGGGGTGGGGGGGAAGCCGAAGTGGAGCAGAGAAGTGGAGGAGCGAAGTGGGTATTGCGGTAGAGTCGGACGAAGTGGGTATCACGGCAGAGTCGGACGAAGTGAATATCGCCGCAGAGTTGGACGAAGTGGACACCCCCCGCGCAAAGCCTCACCCGTCGTCCGCCTGCACTATCTCATTTATCATCTCGTAGGTGGAATCCTCGTAGAAGTCAAATTCGAGGGGGAAGTCCCAGATGTCGATGTAGTCCTTCTTCTCATAGTAAGAGTTGTATAAGGTTTGCTTATCATGGAGAAAGTGCTTACTTCGAAATACGTGGTGCATCGAAAGAGGACACATTTTGTAGCTAACAGAATAGTTGCAAATTATATCAACGTAAAAAATTTTCTTATTCAGATGAACCAAGAAATATAATCTCTTGTACACATTGATGGGGTATATACAATGGTATGTAAGATTGACAAAGTGGTATGAATTTTTTTTGACAACAAAATTCGTGCTCTTAGTGCTAAATAAGTATCCAAGGTTTATAATTTCGATATGAACATCCGTGTCGTCATCATTTCTGATGGTAAGTTTTTCCGTTACGGTGTCTCCTAATTTGAGATTTTCCAGAAGGTAGACCCCCTTGGTAAAATGTAACTTGACATTTTTAATTTCACAAATGAAGAATAGTTCGATACAATAATCGATGCATGCTTTGAACTGTATCATTTCTCTGTATTGGTTAACTTGGTTCTGTCCGTTGATGTGTAAGATGATTTCCTCTTTGGAGCCTTCCTTTATTGTGAATTGTTCCTTTGAAAGGTGGAAAACGTTGCTCCTCTTCGCACTGGCACTGGCACTAGCATTTGAATTGGCATTATCATTCGCACTGGCATTCCCATTCGAATCCTTCTCCTTCTTCTTCACCTTCACCGTTATGGGGGCACTGGTAACATTATGCAAATATATCGATCTGGTGAGTCGCTGTCCTAGGCCCACTTCGCCAAAGTTGACCACACTTTGATGGGAGATCTGCCTGTCTTGGTCGGAAAGAATGATAATTTGGGGCAAAACGGCAACCCAGTTTAACTCGATTCTTTTTTTTATTAAACGCACTTGTACCTCTTCCTGGTTTATCATCTGTATTATGTCACTGACTCCTTTCTCTCCACTGTCTTCACATAGCTTGTTCGTAGTTTCATTTGCCACCTTAGGACCTTGTGGAAATATTTTTCCTTCCAGATTCTTTGGCACTTCAACGATAGAGCAAGATAACCACTCTTGAAATTTTTGAGGCAACTCTGAATATAGTATAATCTGCACATGTTGTTTTTGGTTAGATTTTAAAACAAACTCAGAAGGTTTCAATTTAATTTTTCTTTTTTTCTCCTTCGATGTGTATTTGTGCGTCAATTTGATCACTGCATTTAGTGCACCTTGGTTTTTTATCACTAGTTCTTCTTTCCCCTTCTGCTTAATTACCATATCTTTAAAGTGTAGGACTGAGGGTAAGATGATGTCGCATTTGAGAGGAGTGGCTCTCAGATGAACCTCTATTCTCTTGTCCCTCTCCTTGTCTTCGATCACTATACTTAACGTTTCACTCACAGTATGGAAGTCATTTACAGGGTTGAAGAATGTTATGGGGTAGCTCTTGTTTAACCCGGCACTTATCGTTTCTACCTCCTGCAGAGGGTAAGTAAAATATACGCTGCTTTGGAAGAGGAACCGAAACCGTATTAACTTTTTCGTCGTGTTCTTTATGCTCAGCCTTTTCGTCATTTTGACCCCCCCCTCGTAGTTGTCAAATTCGATTGAGGGGGGGAGCTGGAGCCCGTGCACCCTGCGGCTTTTTTCCATCGTTGCCGCCCCCAGGGGGGAAAAACAAAAAAAATAAAGAGGAATGAAGAAACGAGGGAGGGAAAAAAAAAAAACTACCCCACCATGGGGTTGGAAGTCTTATATTTATTTTTTTTTTTTCTAATAGATTAATTTTTGGAGTAACTTGGTATGCTTTTTTTGAGTTGACTGCAATGTAAGCGGTCTGCAGCAGGTAAAGGG